GCCCGGGGTCAAGGCTCTGTCAGCCCTGTGACTCCTCCCAAGAGCCGCTCCACTGCTCGGGGTTTCCAACCCACCTGAGCCTGTGCCTGCATCCCTGCCCTGCCTGTCACGGGCCAGCGACTTCCCTGGGCCTCAGTCCCCTACTGTAAAATGGGCAGAGTGATGGCTGCCCTTTCTGGAGGGAGCGTCACCAGGCTTCGCAGCCAGATGCTCATACAGGGGTGAACAGGCATGGCACGCCGGCCCTGAGCAGCGACACAGAGGGAGACCGGCACGCAGAAATGGCAGGGCCCACGGGCGCTGGCTCGGCCTCTGCTCACTTGGCTGGCAGAGGCTGGCGGGAGCGTGGAGCGTGGGGAGGCCCATCGGGGGAGAACACGCAGTGCAGCTGGATGACAAACAGGGTGGGGGCAGGAAGCAAGTGGCTGAGCACCGCCCCCTCGCCCAGCCCCAGCAGGCCTGGCCCTTAGCTCTTTTGAAAGCTGGGCCAGCTTCTGACCCACAGAAAACACAATTTGCTCACTTAAACAAAAACACAAACCCAGCCCCCGTCCAGAGCCAGAGCCCAGCGATCCTCTGGCAGGAAAAGGAAAGGAACTCGTGGCCCTGGGCACTGCTCTAGGACATCTCACCCACTCTCCCAGTAATCCTGAGATTACCACATCTTAGGAGGTCGAAACTAAGGCTCAGAGAGGGTGAGTCACTTGCCTGAGGTCACACAGCTGGGAAGGCAGAAGCGGGAATTCACTTGCTGAGGGCCAGGCTGAAACTTGACCCAAGCTACCTTTCCCAGCAGGGACACAGGGGTGGAGGCCCCAGGAAAGCGCTGGTCCATGCAGTGCTGGCCTCAGCCAGAAGGTGAACCTCCCTGAAGAACCCCAGCGCTGCAGGACACAGGAGCCAGAGGCCACCCGAGGCGGGCCCAGCCTAGGCGATGCTGGCAGGCAGATGCGTTGACATCAGGGAAGCCACAGCACAGAGCCCAGGGCTTCCCAGATTCCGAAAGGCCCCGGGACACAGGAGACCAAGGACACAGGCATGGCCCGGCCTCAGCAGAGCCCTAGTGTGCAACAGGCCCAACACGTGGTGCCTGGCGTGGGCTTCTTCCAACACAGAAGGCAGCTGAGGAGGCAGCCATCTGCAAGCCCTCTGACCGACAGAGGGGCCGGTCCAGGCCCAGGGCAACTGAGCAATGTGCCCAGTGGTCACACGGCGAGCCAGGGCACAGGCTGGTGTCCAGCCCAGGGTGCCTGTCCAGGAGCAGGCAAGAGAGGCAGCATTAAGGCCCCAACAGACCTGGGTTCTGAGCTGGGCCCACACACACTTGCCCTGGGCCGTGGGCAGGCTTCATGCTTCCACCCTTACAAAAAGGGATTTTTCCTTTTGGGTTTTTGGGACAGTGTCGCCCTGTGTCGTCCAGGCTGGCCTTGAACTCTCAGCAATCCTCCTGCCTCAGCCTCTCAAGTGCTGGTGTTACAGGTGTACGCCACCACACTTGGCACAGGAGGGGTTTCTGTGGGTGTCAGCCTTTTATCGCTGGAACGAAACACCTGAGAAAATCAATTTAAAGCAGGTAGGATTTCTTTGGGTTCACAGTTTTGGAAGTCTCAGTCTGTGGTCACCTTGGGGTCATCACCGGCCCACCTGGCTGGCAGCTGGGCCCTGGTCGTCTGCTCAGGACACCTGTCTTGGAGTTCTGCCCAGCGGTGACCCTGAGAGGCCACGCAGAGCCCATTTACGGAAGGGACAAATGTCATCCAGGGGCAGGGCTTCTCTGCAGTGTTTTCAGGGTTCGGCAGTGCAGCAGGTCTTTTCCCCCTCATCCTGGGCGCCCACGATGTTTAACTGACCATGTTCCCACCAACGCGGCTGCCACATTCCCAGCCAAAGCGGGGCCAGCACTTCCTTCTGGGGACACACCTCGGTCACGGCATGAATGATCTATTGTCACAGTACGGATGGCTGCGATAACAGAGTGGCCGGCACACAGTGAACACCTGCAATCGTCCCCAGCCCGTGGCTCCCCCTCTCCTGGGCAGCTGGGCGCCGCCTCCCCGTTGGTCTGCAATGCAGCTGCAGCCCCGTGTGCTCAGCATCTCCAGAGGCAACAGGGCTTGGGGGATCGTGTCCAAGACCCCGGTGACCGCCACCAGGAGGAATACGCCCGGACCTGCTCTCCTGGATGCCCCCAGCCATTCCCAAGGATAGCCGCGGGGCTCTGAGGTCCAAATCCCACTTCCCTCCAGGATCTCCCGCAGGTTCCCAAACCCGCCCACGGGCCCATAGCTCCTGCACTCTGTGAAGCTCACCTTCCACTCCCGGAAACGGATCAGGGCTGCTGTGGGGATGAAAGGGCTTAATTACCACACTTCCCACAACAGTGCCTGGCACAAGTCACAGTGCTACGTGGCGTCTGCAACTGAGTTTCTCAGCTGTCTGGCATCCCAGCAGTCAGAGACCCCTGCCTTGGAGAATCCGGGAACTGGAGACCCCAGGAAGGGGCCCCATGATGCCCCACTTCCCTGGCACACAGGTTGTACGGGGCCTGGTCCCAGCCGGGACTGTACCTCCTGACCTCCTGAGGGCCGCCTACCCCAAGGGTCTCCGCATGGCAGGGGCAGGAGCTGCCGGCCCCCCAGGAAAACCCGTGCTCCCAAAGTCCCCCAGTGACAGCAGACATCAGGCTCCCTCTCCCAGCCCTGGGCGCCGAGCATGTGGCTCCCATTAGGCCACATCTGGAGGCGCTCAGAGGCAGGGCCGGCACGCCGAGGATCCCTGGCACAGCTCCACTCCTACACAGGACCCCCCGCCCCAAGTCAGGGCCTGGGGTGATGGCTGGGAACCTCCTTCTCCAGGCCCCAGGCTGCCATGGCAACATGGCTGGGGGGTCATTTCCAGCCCATTGCAGCCTCTTGCAGGTTGCCCTGGAACAGCCACCCCAGCTTCTCCATCCAAGGCCCCACCAGGACTGAGGACACCCCTCCCAGCCCTCCCCTACAACAGCAGCCAGGTCCAAATCCCACTTCCCTATCCAGATGTCCCACCAGGCAGCCCGACCCCCACCCACAAGGCCTCCTGTCACCCAGGGCTGTTTATCTGCCTGGTGCCCTCCACCCCCGTCAGAGCCCAGGGGCGGGGGAAGCTGCTCCTGCGTGGCTCCCTGCCCGACCCGGCACAGATGGGGTGCTCCCAGAACATTTCTGGGGAGCAGATGGCGGGTAATAATGCTCACACTTCTAATTACTCAGCTCCATGCCAAGCACTGGCATGATCTAGCTCATTTAACCCTCAAAACAGGGCCTTCTCTGCAGCTGAGCGATGGAGAAACTGAAGCACAAGGTGGCCAGCCACCTGCCCAAGTTATGTGGGTCATGGAGCCAGAGCACACATATTGGGGGTGACAGGTGACCCCTGGGTAGCCAGAAGAAAGACAAAGGGGTGATGGATGTTTATATGGCCAGGGCCTAGGTCCTGGGACCCACCCCACACACCATCTTGCGTTCCATTCCCTGCACACCCAGAGCTGCGGCTGCCCGCCTTGTGGGCTCATGCTCCTCTCTGGGACAGCCCTCATCCTGGGGAAGGGGCCTTCATCAAAAGCCATGCCCACATCCAACTGAGAGAGCCCAGGGGAGAGAAAAAAGCCAACCTGGGCCCAAGAGCAAAGCAGTTCCCCAGACTGCACAGCCCAGTGCCCCAGAGAAGCCCCCTCCCCGCAGCAGGAGGCGGGCGGGCGGGCAGTACGAGGGCCAGGGCTGCATGTGCTTTGGAAACACTGCTGGGCCTGCTCCCCAACCAGCTGCACCCCTCTGAGCATACGGCACACATGCAGCTCATCAGAACCCCCTGTGTGCCCCTCGGGCTCCAGGCTTGGGCCGGGGGAGCAGGAGGCGCTCACAACAGGATAGCGGGGACCTCCAGCCAGGCACGGGGCAGGGGCTCTGCAGATCACCCACCTTCGCTGCAGTGGGAGGGCACAGGCTGCACACAGTCCATGCCCAGCAGTGTCCAAGAAGCAGCAGAGACGGCCAAGGCCATATAACCACGGAGAGCAGGACGCAGCATGGGACTCTGGAGAAACCCAGAGCCCCTGCTCCCCCTCCAGGAAGCCTCCCTCCCCATCCCAGCCAGGCCTCCCCCTGTACCACCCACACCGGGGACCCAACCCCCTGGGCCATCCCCGCCTCCCCAGGCCCCTGGCCCTGCTCACTGCTGACATCTGAGCAAAGCTTGCAGAGGGGTTGACCGGGAACAGACCCCTGGAAACCAAACACCTCCCAGAGCACCTGAGAGGGGTGGGGGGAAAACAGAGCTGCGGGGGTAGGGGAGACCCAAAGATCCCCAGTTGGCTTCCTGGGGGAGGTGCTGGCAGGGACAGTATCGGCAGCAAGGGAAACCCAGGGAGGAGGGAGGCTAAAAGAGGAGGTGGCCTGAGAGATCCACTCCTCCTACACTCACGGAGCACCAACTGTGCACCCAGCCCTCCCGGAGGCTCTGGGGCTCAGTGTGCCAGATGTGACTCCCTTCCAGTGCTCAACCATACAATAACAATAAGCAAGCATCTGAGGAACTACATACCGTTGTGTCAGCTATCGTTAGGAGAAATTAAAAGGGATTAAGAAGAAAGGTGGGTGGTCAGGAAAGGAATCCCTGGAGAGGAGACCTGAGCAGAGGGAAGAAAGAAGCCATGCAGATGCCTGGAAGGCATCTCAGGAGGAGGTGTGCGAGTGCCACAGAGGCCCAGGGGCAGGAAGCTGCCTGGCCAGGAGGCCAGTGGGGCTTTGCAGATCAGGCGAGGGGGAGGAGGAGGGAGAAGGTCCACAAAGCCCTACACGTCCTGCTGAGATGCTCACAGGCCCTACCTCACCCCAGAAGACCCCTGCTTTGATGAGGGATCCCGCGAGGGAACCCGCACCTCCCAGGACACCCACAGGAGCCATCTGTTCGAGGCCCCGGGTGGTGACCAGCTCCCCTGGAGGAAGCAGAAAAGGGTCTCCTACCTTCAGAGCTGCCTCTGGGGACAGAATGGACAGAGTTGGGGTCTGTGTCCTCCTCTGCCTGGGGACGGGGCAGAGCCAGCCGGTGCTTGGGCACTTCCTGGGTGGGCAGGACCCGGGCCTCCTTGTGCAGGGGCTCACCCAGGATGGGCTGGGCGCTGGGTTTGACAGGCCCCTCAGGAGGGCTCCGCGTGGCCAGTGACGGGATGACATGGGCAGGGCCTGACCCTGGCAGGGGTGCGGGACCCTCCTGCCCAGCACTTCGAGGGGTGGCCTGGGCATCCGGGATGAGGTTGTCCTCGGGTCCTGCCTCGGCTTCTGCCCCCTCCTCCTGGACAGCTACAGTGGATCCAGCTGGGGCCGTGGTGGGCAGCCTGTCCAGCACCTCAGGGCCACCTGCTGCCAGCTGCTGCGTGACTGCTGCTTCCTCTTCCTCCTCTTCCTCTTCAGTATCCTCTGTCACCCTCCTGGCTTTGGCCTGCACAGGGGCCGGAGGACCCAAGGCAGCCGCTGCTGTGGGCCTGGGGAGAGCGGCTGACCAGGGAGAGGTCTGGATGGTGGATGGAGGCTGCACCCCGCCTCCCAGGGCAGCTGGGGCGCGCCCTGCCTCCTCCTGGGCCTCGCCCACCAGGGCCGACACAGCCTCCCCCTCGGCCACCTCCTGGTCATAACTGTAGGGGTCTTCATAGTGCCGCTCAGGGTCCCCCTCCTCGGTGTCCGAGAAGTTCCCGTGGCAGCCAGGAAGCTGGTAGCAGATGAGTTCTCCGCCAGCGTCGGGGCAGTGGCACGCCCGGCAGGCTGACAGGTGAACGGTGTGGCCAGCAGGGTACTTCCGGCCAGAGTGGACACAGCCCACCTGGCCACACTGCGGGCAGCTGTCAGCCACCACTGCGGCCTCGATGCAATTGGGCGGCAGCTCTGGGCACAGCATGAACTGGCAGCTGATCTTGCCACCGCCCGGCGGGCAGGAGCACTCTGTGCTGCCGAAGTCCACGAAGTAGGACTGCCCAGCGGGCACGCGGCCATCCACAAAGCCGCCCTGTACACAGTCGTAGTACTGGTAACCCTCGCAGGCGCAGCCGTGCCGCACACAGGTGGCACAGCACGCACCTGGCTCCAGCGCTTCCTCGATGCAGTTCTCCAGCAGCGGGCACTGGGCACCCGTGCAGTCCTGCCACGGCCCCGCCACGCCCGGGCTCGGCCCCATCGCCACGACCAGAGCCACAGCCAGACAGAGTCCTGCATGCTCCCAGGGCAGCGCCATGGTCCCTCAAGACCCTGGGGATGGAAAAGAAGCCCATCAGCACCAGGGCACACACTCAGGCCAGGGTCCACCCTGGCACGGATACTCACATGACTCCACGCCCTGGGGGACAGATCCACACGCAGGGGAGTCACCAACGCAGATGCCATGGGGTCATGACGAGCCCCCTATCTGCTCTCAAGGCCGCCCGACTCCCCTTGCTCACAGACCCACACAGACTCTCTGGGTTTTTGAGACAGGGCGGCGCATGTAGTGCAGGATGGCCTTGGGCTCATAACATAGCCCAGGCTGGCCTCAAACCTGTGGCGATCCTCCTACCTCAGCCTCCCAAGTGCTGGGGTTGAAGGTGTGAGCCACCACACCTGACTCAGACCCTCCGGTGGGCCCAGCGCCCACAGTTACACAGGGCAAGCACACTCATGCCCACACCTACCGGGCACTCAGGATCCCACCCAGCCCCACGGTCCTCCCTGCACGGACGCCCCTGTCACATGCAGAACACACCCAGTCCCATGCACGTGCCTGCACCCTCGACTGGCAGAACAATTTCTCTCCTCGGAAACTTTGGCTCCATTCCTAGCCCATGGCTGCTGGCCAGGGGATGTGGTCAGGGGTGCTGGGCAGGAACGAGCTGCTCCCCAGGCTCTGGCGCAGCCTTTTACCCTCCCACGGCAGCCCCGGGTGGGGACTGCAAGTTCAGCCCCGGGACGCTGCTGCCCACCTCACCCAGCACGGGCCTGGCTCCCGCCAGCCCCAGCCTCCCCTTCCCCGGGATTCGGCAGTGGTCCTGCCCACGCGGCCAGACGGCTGTTCATCTCTCACTCACCGCGGGAAGCCGCTGGGTCTGGCTCCCTGCTGGACCTGCCGAGCCCTCTCCCCTGCCCCCATTATTCTCTGCACCCCACTCCTTGCCACCTTCTCTCCCCCGATCCTCCCCCGCCATCACCCTTGGAGAGGTCACAGGAGCCCACGGCCCACAGTGACCTGGGGACCAGGCCCCACCCCAGGCTCCCTCCGCATCCACCCTGAGGCGGTGCTAATGTTGCTAGTTACCTTGCTAAAACCACTGTTTTTGTGGTGGTGGTGGTTGTTGTTATTGTTTAAGAAAAGACAAGGAAGTGGAATCTCTAGCTTTTTAAACATGTCACATCGAACTTTTAAAAGTAGCTTTTTAAAAGATGCAGGCAAGAAGGGAGAGGTGCAGAGCAGCGCCACCTCGTCTCCAGAGCAAGCCCCGGCGGGCAGCACCTCCCAGCTCTGGCCAGACCAGGCCGGAAGGTAGGACGGAGCCCCAAGGACAGCGAGGGAGTGACAGCCACGCAGCGCCAGCATAGACGGAGGCCCCCAGACACCAGGGTTTCCTGGCCAGTAACCCAGGCTCCTGGCCATCTTCCAAGGCTGATAATCCGGGGCGGGGGACAGATAATCAGTGCACATGCAGATCCGTGCCAGCCACGAATGAGCACAGTGAAGAAATAAACAAAGGAAGGAAGAGCGGAAGGGTCTGGGCAGGGAGAGCACATGTCAGCTGAGGTGGGCAGAAAGGCTTCTCTGAGGAAGAAGAGCAAGAGGAAGAGGCGGAGGAGAAAGAGCAGGAGGAGGAAGAAGAGGTGTCTGAGCTGAGACTGAGAGGTCCAGCTTCGGGCAAAGTGAGTCAGGTGGGGAAGGTGGGGGCACAGTAAGTGCAAAGGGCCTGTGGCAGGACCGGCAGAAGGCAGGTGAGGAGCAGCTGGGGCTACTGTGGCTGGAGCCGGATGAGCAAGCACAATAGAGGCCCAGGAAGCCAGCAAGCCACCACACAGGCCCAGGAGCCCACCGACGGGGTGAGGCCTCAGTGCCAGGAGGGCGGGGCGGAGGCATGCACGGCTAAGCAATGGGCAGAGGGCGAGGAAAGGGAGGGTTAGGCTTCTAGCCCCTGCTCTGCTCACCTGGGCCTGTGGTCACCCCACCACGGCCACGCCCAGGCAACGCTTTCGACTTTCCCAGGCGAATCTCGGCTTCCTGCCACCCCCGCCCCAGGCCCAGGAACCACACAGCGCACAGGCCCTCAGCCTGACCGCACTCTCTCCTGTGCTGTGCACCCCCGGGGGAGGCCCTGACCCTCTCTGAGCCTCGGCTCTAAATCCACACAGTGGAGAGATCCCCACTCCTCAGGTCCTGGTCAGGGCACTAACCAGCCCTCGGGGACACTGGTCTGGTACATGCTGGGTGACCAGCACTCACATGCTGGACGCAGCCAGACAGAAAGGCAGGTTTCTGACCCCTCCTTAGACACCCTGAAATGTCACGGCCCACATGCCTGTCACACAGAGCGCTGAATGGGGCAGGCAGGGAACAGGCAAATGTACATCCAAGGCCACTCTAGGGAATTAAAACGCATACCCCCAGCTGGGCATGGGGGCGCACACCTGCCATCCTGCACTCTGGGGGGTTGAGGCAGGAAAATCACCAAGTTTGAGCTCAGCCTGGGCAACTTAGCAACTCACTAGGACCCTGTCTTAAAATTTAAAAGTTGAGGGATTATAGCTCAGTGTAAAGGCCCTAGGTACCAATCAATCCCCAGTATCAAAAAGTGTTTAAAAATAGAAAAGCAAGCATGGCCCCCAAATAAAAGAGATAAATTGTATAACACAAATGGATGCACAGTAGATAGAAACAGACATCTGCCTAATGGGGGAGAGGGCCAGGAACACAGAATAAGGGGAAGAAATAAACTAGTAAAGCAAGACCCTGCTGAGGCTAAGATAATTAACTCAATTCCTAGCCCCCAGGGTCAAGCTAAAAACAACAGGATCCTGCAGGTCCCCAGGGGGAGTCATCCGCACCCCCCCAGGGGCGGGGCAGGACCACATCCAGCCAGGCCACAAGGCTCAGCCCCCTCCTCCTTGTGCTTGGTTTACAGATAGATGACATGTGACCAAACCTGACCAATGACACACAGAGCTGTGGCCACTGCCAGAAGACTGGCAGAAGAGATGCTAAGGCCTGGCAGCTCCACCTTGGTCTGTGGGATCCTCCTGACCACTGAGTAGGAGGTCTGACTGCCCTGTGGGAGAGGCCATCGAGGCCAGGCCTCCTGAAGTCTCCACTACATCCCAATTACAAACCATCAGTGGATTAATCCACTTAGGAGGCAGAGCCCTCTGGATCTAGCCCCTTCCCAAAAGCCATCCTCTGAATGTCGAAGTCCTGGGGACCAGGCCTTCAACATGGAGCCTTTGGGGGACAGTCCACATGCAAACCATAACACACAGCCACAGCCAAAGCTGCTGGCACCTAACGTCAGCTCTCAGGCCAGGCTGGGGCATCCTCTAGGATGCCTGGTGCCGTTGGGCACCAGGCAGAGAGGGAGGGGCCTGAGACAAAGCCCCCGAGGCATGTGGGTTCTGGCTGGACCCCAGAGTGAGCAAGCCAGCCAGGGAGCCATCTGGGAATGACCAAGGGGCTCAGGGGCCTGACTGAGCACCAGACTGCCGGGGACAGTGGTTTGTCCTGGGAATGTGGTGGGCAGCAAACACTGGAATTTTTAAAAAGATAAAGACACCTAACCTGTCCCATGTCTGTCTCACGCCCTAGCATATTTCTTTTTTTGGTACCCGGGATTGAACTCAGGTCCTTGTGCTTTCGAGGCAGGCAGCAGAACCACTGAGCTAAATCCCCAGCATGCCCTAGCATATTTCACACAGGAGCATCAAAGGTGGTATGGTCGATGTCTCCTCACTGTCCCCCCCCTTGCTGATGGGCCGTTCTACTAACCAAGAGGCACACAGACAACCAGCATCTGGGTGACAAGGAAGGACGCGAGGCCACCCTGAGGTGACATTCAACAGCAGCACCTAGGCATGCGTCTGTTGGTGGGGGTGGCTCTCGTGGCAGTGGGTGGAGAAAGTGCAGAGGAGACAGGGCCAGAGGGTGCATGAGGTTGTCTATCTGGGCGGTGGCAGCTTGGGTCAGTGTGGACCAAACCCCTGCTGCAGGTGGGGACAGGGGATCTAAGGTGGCAATGCAGTACGTTCTCAGGACCATACCTTGAATGGGGGTCAGGGCCAGGGACACATCCAGGCACCGGCTCCTCTCCCTGCCGTCCTTGCTGCTCCCTGACCCACCCTAAACTCCCACCCCTCCAGGAGAGTGACACTGCCTCCCTATCCATCAGCCCCCAAGCTTGTCTACTCTCTGGGCTGGCAAGGACACAAGGTCAAGGTGCCCCTGGGGATTACTGCTTCCATTGCAGATGTGTCCTTCCATAGTGAGGGCAGAGACCAATCACAGCAGCCCCCCAACCCAGTCCACAGAGGAAACATTCCTGGACCCCCAGTATGCGTAGGAAGCTGCAGACAGTACCCAGCCCGGGTGTACCATGGGTCACTCTTACTGTAGCTTTCTGAGACCTCAGCATACAATTACCTTCACTTTCTTGAGACCTTTCATCTTGCACTTCAAGGAAGCACTTTGGGGTTTCTCTTTGATGTATCCAAACTGCCAGTGTCACTACTCTCATGTTTTGGGGTCAAGTTAAGCAAAATAAGGATTTCAAAGACACAAGCACTGTGCTATTGCCACTGACAAGCTGCTAACTGAGATGGTCACTGGGTCACTAACAGGCGGGCAGCATACACAGCATGGATACTTGGGACCAAGATTCAAGTCCCAGGCAGGACTGCAGATTTCACTGTGCTTCTCAGAACAGAGCACGAGCGAAAACTCAGTTTATTCCTGGAATTTTCCATGTAACATTTTTGGATTATGACTGATTATAAATAAACCATGGGAAGCAAAACTATGGATGGGGCAAGGGGCTACTGTATACTATGTCAAATCATAAGATAAAAAAAGGCCCTTTCCTTCTCTGATCCTTGGATAATTTCTGATTCTCATAAAAACAGGCTTAGCAGATCTAGCAAGTAAATACACAGGATATGTGCCATTCCAGCGGGATTTCAGATAACAAAGGGTAACTGTCTGGTGTAAGGATGCCCAGGCAATATTCAGGACATATTCCTTTGCTGTGTAT